TGGCCTGCGGTGCTGCCCGCATTGCCTGCGGTCCCTGCCTGCATTGCCTGCGGTCCCTGCCTGCATTGCCTGCGGTGCTGCCAGCCTGCCTGTGGTACCTGCCTGTTGCTGAGCATGAGAGGTGAGACTTCTTCCTGCCACCCGTGGTTCTAAGTCCGGGTTGCAGGGGAAGTCACCCGCAGCTACTAGATAAGTACCTAGAGCATCTCGGGAACAAAGTAAGGGATTGTATTTTGGGCATAATTCTCTCCCTAAGGTGTTCCTGTCTTACCTGCACACAAACCATGATTCTATACGGGACAAGCATCGGGCATATCCCTCCTTCCTCCTCCCCTCATGGGTGTGTAAATAAGGTGTACCTATATATAAGTATTAAGGCATATGTAAGTTCTTGGTATTTGGTGTTTTAAAAGATACTTCGTAGCTCCTATGTGTTTTAATTACCCTTTTTGAACCTCCTGCCCCAAATTGTTTTATTTTTCCCCTCAATAAAACGTGTATTCATAAATTCTAATTGGGGGTTGGCTGCTGTTACTGGAAACACTAGTAAGCACTGAGCAAGTGTCTCACCTGAAAAGTCAGTGCTGAAGTTAACTGCTCTGTGAGAGGCGAGCGCCGTGTGCGGACCTCTTGGCAGATCGTGATAAGCTAAATTCACTCCAAAAAGGAGATAGAACAGGTCGCGGATCGCGACAAGTACATACTAGACTACAATGCATTTTTACTGCATTATTATTTCTAAAGAAAGTCAGTGTCATCATCTGTTTCAAGTTGGTCAGCATTGCTTGCAAATTCCACCAGAAAACTGCCAAACCTGACATAAGCTATAGACTACTAGATGAGCAACTTTATATATAGGAAAATATACATGTAAAGTTCTAGTACACCTAGTTGTTATTGAAGTGATAATGCCCATTACAGAAGGGTTATGCATCTGTTAATAAATGTCAATTATAGGATTGAAATTCCTCCAGCAAACAGATGCATGCCGAGGGTGTTTATTGCTGCAGTGACTGTCTTTGCCAGACTTGTGCTTTAGCATAAAACAAATATGTTATCTTTCTTTTCCAAATATGGGTCACAGTTGTCAGCCCATACTGTTCTAAGTAGTCCTGGTATTCAACTGTGCTGCCTAATGTAGGGAGTAGTTCCTAAGGCTGTTTTCTGGTAGTTCTCAGAGCAGTTTTATTATGGAGCAATGAGACCCAAAGAGCTTTAACAGCCAGAGGAGTTAAGCTTTTATAATGTAATATTTTGTCGTGGTAGTGAATACTCAGTTTGATTCTGTTAGATATGACCAGGATATGGAAGTACAGCTATCAAATGAGCAGGAATCCCTGTTATGTAACACTAACAGAAGATAAAATAAAAATAATGCTAATGGGAGCTTTTATGTTTCAGTGTCGTCCATCCAAAGGCCGAAAGAGAGGTTACTGCTGGTGTGTGGATAAATATGGACAGCCACTTCCTGGGTATGATGGGAAGGGAAAAGGAGATTTCCACTGCTACAACTTGGAAAGCAAATGAGGGCTAGGTGCCAACTCTTCTGGCATCTGTGCATGGGCACTGGACCTTGCAGAGACATTGGAGGGGCTGGGCAAACACTGTGGACTGCATCGGGTGTGGAATAACAAGCTCTGCCTCCTGCAGCAGGTGGGGAGTCACAACCTCTGTGGATGCTGCTGCAGCTGCACCCTGCCACCAACGTGTTGGCTTCCTATAGGATGTGTAGGGAGCTCTGAATTCCCACATAAACCTGCACTATTGATACCCAGAGAGAGAGAAAAACAAAAGGCACTTCAGAGTGCGTTCAGGGAGTCTCCACTGTCTTTTCAAAGAATGACCTGTGACCAATTTGATCCTGAAAGATACTGGGTTTTTATTTTAAAGAATTTATAGATTGTAAGTTTGTAAAAGTATAAAAGGAAAACAAAAAGAAAAAAAAAACAACACAAGAATTTAAAGGTTAAGCTTTTTTTTATAGGTCTTACTTATCTTCACGGGTAAAGTGTTTTATAAAAATCGCAAAGAACTTTTTAAAGAAACATACTTCTAAAATTAAGACATGGCTATTTTTTTTTCAGTGAAATATATTATGAATATTCTGTTAGTCTGTATTTAATATAATTGGGTTTTTTAAACTTTATTTAAATGTAATGTGAATACCAAATTCTACACAATAATTCTTGTGTATACCTCTGTATGCAAAGAGAAAGGAAGGGTAAGGAAGACTTAGAAATAGGTATAGATCCATATACACACATGACCTATTCTAGGTAGTAGAAATTAATTTGTGGTGTGAAGGAAGTGTTTCCAGTAGAGATTAAGATTTGTTACTTGAAGTAACTACAAATACCAATATAATCTTTCTGTTAAAAAAATAAAGAATTATTGTATTGGTATTTCTTACACACCCATCACTGTCTTATGCTACTGGAAAGGGTAGCAGTTGCACGGAAGCTCTCAGTAAAACATTCTTCTGTCTGTCCTTCACTTCAGTTTGTGCAACAGGACTTAACCTTTCCTTCTTTTACTGTTCACACTAATACGGAATATTCATGGACAAAAAAATGCCATTACAGTATCACCTTTTCTATTTGCTTATTTATTTTGAAAATATGTATCTCTTCTGTGGTGTCTTGGTACACTCTACTAAGGCATGTACTCTGCATAAGGAACTCCTGTTTAAAAGAATGCCGGCAAGATGGGGGATCATGGACCTGGGTGTAAAGACCCATGCGCTTCATTTCTGCTATACACAATTGTTGTTTGCTTTGACTTTGGTAGGAATTATGTACCTGCATCTAAGTGTAGAATAAGAACAATATGGTTTAAGTATTCAAGCCTACTGTCTGCCATGATGTTGTATGTTCTTTTAATTGGAAGAGAAAATACTTGGTTTTGTCCTGATATGTGATGCTTTCACATAAGGAGGACTTTAGAAACATTTTTTTTTCAGGCTGATTGTTTAGGTTGAACTTCATGACAAAATTTGTATGACAGTGAAATCTGGATAAGGAAAGGTGGCCTCTTAAATATAACATCTCTCTGGAAAGTAACGCCATATTTTGTATATGTATTTATTTATATATTTTATATATATATCCTATATATTTATATAAATATATAATATATTCCTATATGTGTAACTATAAATGCTTGATGTTACTAGAAAAAAACCCATTGACACTGTAATCTCCTGTTGGGCTGGGAACTGTATGGAAACTTAAGGGCAGTGGATTTCTAGCTGATGGGGAGAAGGATTGTGCCGACAGAGGGGAGACCGTGAGGCTGAGTATCCGATTCTTTTCCCACCCTGTGAATTACAATCACCCATGTTCCTGTCAGCAATGGCAAATGTCTTGAAACTCTGACATGGAAATATTTCAACATGCAACTTGCCAAGGTTGGGACAGCTGATCACCATTAATTAGATGTTTATAGAGTTACCCAGAAAAGTATTAGCTGAACAGCCCTGTGTGCATTCTGCATATCTTCCTCATTTCTATCTAATGAGTTTGCATCATCATTAAAACTGATTTTTTTAACCTTAAGAGTAAGAAAAAAAGTATATGTCAAGTGATGCTTGCTCCAGGCTAATACAGATTTCCTGACAGATGGTTACAGAAAGCTTTGTAAGGTGAAGATTTATTGCAGTATTTTTACTGCTAATGCAAATGTAATGCCTGCAAAGATTTGTTGGCAAAAAAATAAATGCTGTTTTTAAAAAATTGTAGCTTCTTTCAAATAATTTTACAGAGGAAAGAAAATTATATATACATGTGTATTTGGACACATAGCTGTGGATACAAAAAGAAGCGTTGGCTTCATGAAAGTGATTTAGTGTATTAGTTTAGGGGGTTGGTTTGTTTTTTTGTTTTGTTTGCTATCTCACCAGCCTTCTGGAAAAGGAAAGCAACTTCTCACCAAAAAAGGTAGATAGCTACAAAATAATATTACCGCCCAAAAAAATCCCAAACAAACCACTCTAAGATCATCAGTAGTGGCTTTTCACAGATTTCTCTTAGTGCTATGGGAGCCAGGCTGCAATTCAAACAGAAATACTTGTGGGCTAAATCCAAGCAGAAGAATGCAGGCAGTGCAAAGCAAATATATGGGTCAGTATTAGTTCAGGAGAAGATGTCCCTTCACACACACATTAGAAACGTTTTAGGCTAAGAGCTGCAGTGAGTGGAGTACTAATGCATTAGAAAAATACCTCCTGTTTGTGTGCCTTTTTTGCCGTAAGCTCAAGCGGTTTATTTTTCTAAGTGAACGTTTGTCAGCTTTTTACTTATTTTTAACAAACTCAAGAATCTCAGGTGATCTGGATGAACATTATGAAGACTCAGAAAAATTACATGGAAAATATTTGCAAGGAAAGGCACTAGAAACACTTAATGTATGTACTGCAAAAGTTGCTGATTTGAGCTTACTTCATCCCTAGTTTACATGGGTACCATATGTAGCCCAGATCGGGAAGTATTTATTTTAACCAGTATAATAAATAGTTGCATAAATCCCTAGAATTAACCAGAATGCAAGTTAAAGCTGCCTTCAGGCTATTCTATTGTCTTTCAAATTATTTGAGAAAGTTCCTTTTTTTAATAAACCTCCTGTGCCATAGTCTTTTGAGCTCAGAATATCCTCTCCACCTTTTTGGCATGCATGCCCTTCGGGGCATAATGTTAGCTATTTGTGCACAGGGGAAGGAGGCTTCAAAGAATACCAAAACCACAGAATTAATTAGTTTTTAGTACAGTCTGAACTTTTTATAACTAAATACCAGAGAAACCTTAACACAGCATAATTCTTTATTGAACTGAGCCCTAAAGTAATGGTTTTACAAACCTTTTGGGAAATAATTTTTTGGTATCTAGTCACTCTAAAACTGTGTAAGCAAAGATGGCTCCACGGAGATTTTACTTATTAGGAATAGGAAATATATGTAAGCTGTGAAAAGTACTAAGCAATTTTGTAGGATGCCAAAGCATATTAGTATTCAAAATGAAATGTTTATATAGGTAGCTGTTTTGTGCATGGTCCTGCTCTGCCTTTAGGAACTCTTCAGTTCTATTAATTTCTATGAGAAGAACATACTTACACATTAGAAAGGACCTCTTTTTCTTCCCCCACTCTGTCTTTTTTTTTTTTTTT